TAGAAAAAAGACAAAAGATAAAAACACCAGAAAGATTTGTAAAACATGAATATAATGTTTATTAATTTAAAAAAACCATAATTCCTAAAATGATTTAACTCAATAGGTAGGTTGAATAGTCAAATGAAATTTGCTGGAGAAATAATAAACAAACTGAAAAACAGATCAAAGGAAATTAATCTATTTCAATTTAAAATATAAAACACATATTAAAATATGGGAAAACTTGAAAGGGAAGTTAAGAAAGATAAGATATATTCTAATCATCAACACCTGATCAGACTGGGAATACTAAAACACAGAAAATGGAGAAGTAGAAAGACAGAAATAAATAATAGCTGAGGATTTTCCACAACTGCTGGAAAGTTGACTGATTCTTCAGATTCTAGAAGCAAATAAAACCCAAGAAAGATAGCTGTAGTACACACATGGAAGTGGAATACAGAACACCAAAATCAAACGTGTAAAAGCAGAGCCAGGTGCAGTGGCCCAGGCCTGCAGTTCTGGCTACTCCAGAGGCTCAGGGGAAATTTTAAAATTTAAAATTATTTGAGCCCATGACTTTGAGGCCAGTCTGGCAGCCTGGACAGCAGAGCAAGAACCTGTCTAAAAAGAAGCAGAAAAGACAAAAGAAACCAAGCACAGTGGCGCACACACATCTGTAATCCCAGAGGCTCAGGAGGCTGAGGCAGGAGGATCTTGAGTTCAAAGCCAGCCTCAGCATAAGCAAGGAGCTAAGCAACTCAGTGAGACCCTGTCTTTAAATAAAATACAAAATAGGGATGGAGATGTGGCTCAGTGGTTGAATGCCTCTGAGCTCAATTCCCAGTACTCCCACCCCCAGAAAAAGAAAAGGTTATGAAAGCAAACAGTGAGGAAAAGCATCTTAAAAGAAGCAACAGTAAACTCTTCAATAATGGCAACTGAAGCAGAAGACAGAAGAAAAACATCTTCCAGGTGCTGAGAGGAAACTGTCAGCCTACAATTCTAGATCCAGCTAAATCGTGAATCAGAATAAAATTCACATTCTCAGACAAATGAAACCTGAGGTATTTTTTTTTACTACTAACGTACCCTAATGAAAAAACTACTCAAGGATAGTCTTCAGAAAGTAAGCCTAAAGGAAGGAGTGTGATGTGAAAAGGAGTGGCCGCAAGAAATAACATTTGTGAATAAATTGGATACAAGCACTAACAGCACTAAAAAAAAATGATGACTGCTTAGAGGGCATAAAACAAAATTAATAGAAAACATCGTACACGGGCCTGGGATATAGGTCAGGGGCAGGGCAGAGCACTTGCCTAGCACAGATAAGAACCTGTGTCTAAACCCCAGCAATGCAAAAAAAAAAAAAAAAAAAATATATATATATATATATATATATATATATATATATATATATATAGGCTGTGGTTGTGGCTCAGTAGTAGAGTGCTTGCCTAGCATGTGTGAGACACTGGGTTCAATTCTCAGCACTGCACTTAAATAAAAAAATAGAACATAATATATATATTACAAAAATTATATTTAAAATGAGCAAGGTATGGTAGAATAAAAGTTCTAAGATCCTAAATCATTTGAAATGATAATTAAGATATTTTTAGAAGTCTAACAATTAGACAAATTGTAATTTCAGAATCTGTGTTAAAATTGGAAAAGTAAAAGCAGAAATGGAACATGCAATTTCCAAATCAATAAAGGAAAACAGAATGTAAAATATTATTAATGCCCACATTTTGCAAAACACAAAGCCAAGGCTTATTAAAATTAACTTGACAGAATTTACCCAGCCAGCAACTAGCAGAATGTGACTTAAATTCATGTCTTTAAATTCCAAGTTCTGTGATTTTTTTTCCTTCTATGTCATATAACTCTGACCTAGGTGATTCTTTAAAATAACACTAGATAACCCTGATATCTAATCTAATAAGGCAAAAATTCCATACTACTATAGAATATCTTTATTTAAATAGCTTGTGGAAAAGTGTAATTTATTTATCTAGCAATCCTCTTATACACTCTTACCTGCCTTTTTACTCACTGCCTCCTGATTTTTTTGTGTGTGTGTGGGTGGGCGGAGGTTCCAGGGATTGAACTCGGGGAACCACTCAGCCACATCCCCAGCCCTAATTTTATTTAGAGACTGGGCTCACTGAGTTGCTTAGCGCCTCCCCATTGCTGAAGCTGGCTTTTGAACTCGTGATGCTCCTGTCTTAGCCTCTGGAGCCGCTGGGATAAGCGTATGCCAATGCACCTGGCTCATAAAATCCTTCTTCTGGACTCTAAGTTTTACTGTTCCTTCTCTCTTCCTCCTTCTCATTTCTTATTTTTTACATTTTTTGTGTCAGTGTGTATACATATTTACAAACACATGTAATATGAATGTATCATGTTTACCATTTTTAAAAAACCTCAATGTGTATGCTATGGAGAATGGTAGATAATAAATGCATAATTTTTGTTGGGATAGTTTGAAAGACTCATAAAGATGTAAGAAGTTAGAAAAAGCAGTGGTACCCAGGTCTGTTTTTTTTTTTTTCCAATTGTCATGCTCTCTCACTGAAGCAAGCACATACATTCAAAAGGTCTAGTATCTAGTTTTCAAATCTTCGAAGTTGTAGATGGTTCCCTGACAAGCCTTTCCAGTGTCAGAGATTTTATCTATAAACAAAGAAGTGATTGCCTTTCTCCTTGCTAAGACCAAATTGATTGGTTTACAGTTGTGCACTATGTTCTCTTGAAGGCATGCAGTGAAAACTTCAGGGTATGCCCAACACAGTAGTTCAAACATTTGGACTTTTTAGTCATGCTAAATCACTGTTACTAACTCTCCCCATCTAGTCTGTCTACAGATATTTCTATAATATTTCATGGGACAATAAAACTTCAGGATAGTATACAGAAAATCATGTAAGTCCCTTGGAATCCACCCTTGCTCTCCTGGCATACAATTTGGCAAATGTAAGAAAACTATATAAATCAAGTCACAGCAACTTCAACATAGTGCCATCTAGTTATATTCTGCTAGTAGCATTATCAGTGCAAAGATCCATATTGTAAATATATCCTTGAAGGAAACCATACAATATTTCCATTATAAAGAAATGGGTGATATTTCCAACTGTGAAACAAACCTACAGGATTATGGCATTACAGTCAATTTCTCTATCTGGAGGCACAGAAACATTGGATAATTAAAACCTACACCAATTTGGACAACTGTTTCTCCTTCAAAAAATAAAATAAAACAAAGTAGCTATAGATGCAAGGAGAAAATACATCAAAAACTCACATGAATTTGCTCCTTTTATTTCTCCCTGTTTATTGCTAAAACCAAACGTCTCATTTGTTCCCTTTCTCCCCACAACTTGGCTTTAACTCCCAAAAAGAGAGCATAGGGGAAAAACTCAGAGGCCCTGATAATCTCAAAACAGAATAATCCATCTCTGAATAATCTAAACTGTCTGTGTCCTGTTTTATAATCATTTATAGCTAATTGAATACCACTACTAAGAATTAATAAGTATACCAAGCTTAAAGGAATTTCCTTCTTTACAAATGCATGGATATCTGGTTATTATTAACCATCCCACCCCACTGCCCCCCTCCCCTGGGGGGGAAAAAAACCTCCTGCTTCATTAAGCAGTTGAAGATTTTTGGAGGAGTACTCTTTGTAGAAGTGAAAACATAATAAAAATAACTGATTGTACTACAGCAGACAGGGGCAATGGGTTAGCGGGAGGAGGATAAACAGTGAATTACAGGTAAAGGATTAACAAGTAGAACAGTCAACTGTGTGGTCTCAGAAAATGGAACTGGTAAAAGAGAGATTAATTTCATGATTTCAAGGAGACATCTGGGCTATGTAGAAGCTGAAGCCCTTATTTTCACAGTAAAAAGTACAAAGCTCTGTCCCTGATTTACAAAGCAGAGTCATTCATGCCAGAGTCAGGGTGGCGGAAGAAACAACAGACATCCAGCAGTGCTATCTGATGTCCTGAATAAGATTATGAAATGATGAATAAAATGATGAAGCTGGTTTCCTCAGTAGTGTTTGGGGGGAGGTATTCTGGAATGGGCTATTCTGGGTTATAAGAATCACTTAAGTGGGGGTTGGGGAGGTGGCTCAAGCGGTAGCACGCTCGCCTGGCATGCGTGCGGCCCGGGTTCAATCCTCAGCACCACATACAAACAGAGATGTTGTGTCCGGTGAAAACTAAAAAATAAATATTAAAAAAATTCTCTCTCTCTCTAAAAAAAAAAAAAAAAAAAAAAAAAAATCACTTAAGTAATCAACAGATATAGAAGTGATGAGCAGTTTTCCAGGCTTAGAGACCTCTCTTCATAAAAAGATCAGAAGAGCCCAAGAATAAAAAAAACAAAAGGATAAGTCAGCTTGAGTCATAATTCTGTTCCCTTTCCTGCCTCCCCGCCAAAGAAGCCATTTTCTCTGTCCCCCTTTCCAGAATCTTCTGTTCTTCCTTCTCTGTGAGACTTCAGGGTGGTCTTGAAACCACCCTGTGAATGTGTGCCTCACAGGGTGTGTAGCACAGAAGCCCAGGAGGCTGAGGGGCCTGGTGCAGCCAGCAGTGGAGGTATGAAGGAGGCTCAGAGAACACTGGTCAGCGACTCCTGGTCACTCCGGTGACTCATTACAAGTCCTCTCTCAGGGTTTTCTTTTAAATCTCCCATAGTCAAAACAAAAAGGTATAAGTTAGAGGGGAGAAAAAAAGGATGAGATGTTCTTTATTGGAAGAACAAGTAGTTGGCAGCAAAGGGAAAACAGAACAAACCAAATAAAATAGATAAAACTGAAAACCCACAAATCAGATTACAAGACAATATTCTGCTGACATTTAAATAAAGTAATCCCCTGGCTACAATTTAACTGCTGCCTTTTTGCCTATAATCCCAGATTTCTCTTGTTTGAGGCTGGACACAATTTTTATTTCTCTGTGTACTTAGAGCTTCACATGGACCCAGCATTATTTACTACTTACTTGTGCTTGCTTGCATACTTTAAAAGGCTGAAGTGTTTCTTGGTAGAAAAGCTGATGATAAGCTTGTAGGTCAAACCAAAAGTACACACAGTTCTTCCACAACTGCAGATGGAAAAAGAACATAAACAAGGATCAACCAATTATTAAAGCTCTACAAAGCTCTAATTTCAAATATAAATCATTGTTTAGTTCCTTGCTGTTACCATAAATCAGGTTCAATATATGGTAGTTTTAATCATTTATCACAAACTGGCAATATGCAAAATATTTATTGGTATTGTCATTGGGACATTATATTTTTTTGCATGTATGCCTCTCACATAATTAGTCATTAAAATAGCAAGTGTTCTAGTTAAAGAGTAACCACATGTTTCTGGCATGCAACCAAAATCTGAAGGTATTTTGATAGGAGCAAATGTATATTATAGCAGAACCAAACATTATTCTAATAATTGAGCCAGTGAAATAATTTTGCCTTTACTCATTGTAATTTGTAGAATTATTAAAAATTAAAGGATTGAGGGCTGGGGCTTTAGCTCAGTGGTAGAGCGCTTGCCTAGCATGTGTGACTCCCTGGTTCGATACTCAGCACCACATAAAAATAAATAAAATAAAGGTCCATCAACAACTAAAAAAATATATATATATTTTAAATTAAAGGATTGATAGAAATCTACTCTAAAATATATTACACTGAGATGAAATTATATGAGAATAAACCAGTGTTAGTAATGCAAGCCAATCTTGGTCTATCTGTATTTTACTTTTCTTTATAATCTTAGTAGAGTAGTAAACCAAAGAGAATTATAATTGAGATGTTTAAATGTTTACTAAATATAAAATATTGACTTTCTTACCAGAGATGGGAATTTTACCATCAAATATATTTACTTGAGCACTGAATTGTTTTAATTCCACTTATTTTTAAATGGAGCAAAATTATAAAATTTTAAATAATTCTTTTCTACCTTGTTTCCTGAATCCTCGCAGAATTTAGTAAAGAAAAATCCAGCTCTGTTTTCTACATACAAAGATTGCAACAAATTTTCCATGTCGTATCCTCCTAGGGCATCAATATTTGCTATGGTTTTAACCTAGATAACAAAACAGAAATCTATCATCCTCCCAAAAGCATTGTAATGTTTAATAGCATTGTACAAGTGGGTTTCCTAAGTTCTGCCAGCCTGTCATTTTCCCACTGTACTATGTTATTTTGTTTTGTACTATACATATCATTAATGCAGTCTATTTGCATATGACTGTTATAAGATTCATTTATGGAGCCAACTATAGCAGCAAAATTCATTCTTTTATAAGCCAATCTGATTTCAAACTTGATATCTTAAGTGACTTCCCGACCTCAGTTGTTCACATTTTTCAGGCACAGTGATGGCATTTGAGAAGTCTTCCAAATCTCTGTTGGTGGCCTATTCTTTCCTACTTATTTACTGTTATTTTAGCCTTGAGGTGCTGCTATTATAGCTACAAGAGGATATAAAAAGAACTATCTTCAAGGCCTCTCAGTGCTGCTCATTATCTGTCCTTAGGGAGTCCCTCTTTGGACAGTGCCACCCCGCATAGGTCATGGCCTACAGAGTGTAAAAGGCAATATAAGTTCTCATAAAACTCTGCTGTTTATGGCTTCTCTGCCAACAATGCTAGCAACACTAATGCCATCCTTGAAACATGGAGAGCTATTTCTCCAAACACAAGAATGACTCCAGAATATGAGAGGGCATATGCTATTTGCATGAACTCTGTTATTTGTTCTGTGGAACTCAGATTTCTTTATAATCTTAAGTGGAGTGTGAAAAAATTTAGGGTTTAATTAAGGCTCTTGCTCTCTATTGTATTGTCTCTCTACCTTTTTAACTGCCTGCCAAACAAATTCCAAGATAAGAATTTGATGTTTTATGATGTTTAACTATTAGCATTCCAAACTAAAAAAAAATAATTACTTTAGTAGGAAAAACAATCCTAATTAAAAACAAAGGAGAACTATTTGCTAAAAATAGAATAAAGTTACACAAAATTACAGCTAAGTGTTGAGACTATATTGGGGCTTCTGAGGTTTCTACTTAAAGCATAATACTAATGAAATCTTCATCTAGAACAGGTGCATTAAATCCATGTCGTAAAGGTAGCTGTACTCTGGGAATACTCTGCCTTTTAAAATTTTTATATTTCCATGGGGCTGAGGTTGTGGCTCAGCAGTAGAGCGTTCGCCTAGCACGCGCAAGGCCCTGGGTTCAATCCTCAGCACCACATAAAGAAAACAAATAAATAAAATAAAGGTATTGTGTTCAACTACAACTAAAAAATAAATATTAAAAATATTTTTTATATTTCCAAAACCTAACTTCAAATATTATTTAATCAACACTTAAGAATTTAAAAATACTAAAGGGTGCTATTTTATGTCTGAGGTGTCATCATACCCAAACCAGAACAAATAGTTTTTATAATAAGTGAAACATGAAACTTACTTACAAAAGGAAACATAGAGGACAGGAGAATTTTTTTATGAAAATCCTTTGTCAAGGAAAAAATAAAATGTGTTGCTTAGTAGAGAAAAATATGGTGAATCAATAAAAAAATTTTCTAACATCAAGGGATACTGACCAATGAGAGAGAAAGAAGATTTCCAGTCCTCAAAATACGTACCTTAGGTTCTTCTGTATAAGCAAATCTTGTATCCAGCTGGGGCTTCAGACATTCAGAAATGTCAGTAAAAGATGTTAAACGAATAACTTTGCTGCTTTCTGATATGTGCATTGACCTAAATTATTGGGATCAGAACCAATTGATCAACAAATTTTGTGCACAATTGGTATATATGGCACCAAAGAACTTCCTCAAAATGATAGAGAATCTGTGAAAAAGATATAACTAACATCATACTTAATAGTGAAAGGTTGAATGCTTTTCCCTAAAATTGGGAACAAGGCAAGGATGTCTGTTGTTCTTCTTCTACTGAGCACTGTACTGGAGGGTCTAGCTAAGGCAATTAGAGAAGAAAAATAAATAACAGGTAACCTGATTGAAAGAAAAAAATTAAAACTATATTCATTTTCAGATAATGTGCAAAATCCATTAAAAATCTACTGGAATAAGTTCAATAAGGTCACAGGATACAAGATAAATATACAAAAATATAAATAAACAAACTGTATTCTGTAGACTATCAATGAAAAATCCAAAAATGAAATTAAGAAAACATTTCCAGGGGCTGGGGTTGTGGCTCAGTGGTAGAGAGTTTGCCTAGCATGTGTGAGGCCCTGGGTTCGATCCTCAGCACCACATAAAGATAGGTAAATAAAATTAAAGGTTAAAGGTACTGTTATCCATCTACAACTACAAAAAATATTTTAAAAAAAGAAAAAGAAAACATTTCCATTTGAAACAGCCTCAAAAAAAGAACCCCCCCAAAAAATATTTAGGAACAGCTTTAACGGAAACATTCTCTCCTAAATGTAGTGACTTTAACTATTACTCTGACTCATTCAACTCATTATATCCAAATTTTTTTAAAGCTGCTTTTTTTTAATATTTATTTTTTAGGTGTAGATATATCCAAATTTTTAAAAAGGGTAATATATGGAATATTACACAGCGATTAAAGAAACGTGCTGTAGATACTGGCAACAACTTGGATAGATCTCAAGGAAATTAAGAGTAAAAAAATCAATCTCAAAGGTTGCATTCTTCACAATCCCATTTATATAACATTCTTGAAGTGACAAAATTATAGAGTTGGAGAACAACTTAGTGGTTGTCAGTGGCTGGAGGAAGGGGAAGGAAGGCAAGTGATTGTAAGTATTAAATGGTAGTTCAAGAGATCCTTGTGATGGAACTGTTTTGTAACTAAAAAAAAAAATTTTTAAAAGACCAATAATCCCATTGGAAATAAAGAACAATAAAAAAGGTAAGTATGTTAACAAGCCTAAATTGATAAAATAATATGCTATATTAAACAATGACAATATTGGAAAGTCTTATGAGTTCTTAAATTTGAGAAACATAAATTATTGAATAGGATAGAAGGCAATCTTCTCTGGGAAGTCCTTATTGTACAGCTCATGACAGGTCAGAGATTGGAGGTAGCATCTCTTTAAAATTACTAACATGTGGAATTACACAATTAATTTAGAGTCTATATATGAAGTATAAACCTTTAATACATATCAACTGAAATATAAGAACCCACATAAAATCAATGTACTGGTTTTCAGTTTCTACTTAATTTTTAAATTCTTCAAAATCTTACCATTGTATGAAAGCACTTGACACACACAAAATTTCACCTACCCTTTCTCAATCCCATCATCCTTTGAAGAAACTAGATACAAAGATTCATTCTTCAAAGGCTTCTGAGTTGCTGTTTTTACTCTAGGTAATTTCTTGGCAGATTTAGGAAGTTGTAATAAACTGAAGTCCTCTTTCTAAAAGTGGTAAGAGAATGAACAAAATCAAAAGTGAGCAAAATGGGAAAAAAAGGAGAGAATAAAACATCATTCTGTACACAGACCTCAAATTTCTTTTGATCACTAGAGGACTTTTCTTTCACCGTACACCCTACCATGTTTCTTACTAAAATGGAAATTTTCTCCTTCCCCAATTCCCAGTTTTATGCAACCCGCAGAGTGAAATGCCATTACAAGTTAGATTTAAGGAAAGAAAAGAATAGTCAAAAAATTGTATGTCCTGACTCTACTGCTGTGAAAGTAGAATCTGCTGAAGGAAGCAACTGACAGGAACTTTTCTTTGTTCTATATTGAATATGTTTGGGGTGGGGGATATTGCATGGCAGGAAAATAAAACAAAGATACCCTTTGGCCCTGGAGAAGGAACATGCATCTTAATAGCACTTCCATTTTCGGACATTTTATTTTTATGGTTATTGTTCCCATTCTTAAAGTTCTTTATGGTAGCTGGGTGCAGATGGTGCACACCTATAATCCCAGTTACTAGGGAGGCTGAGGCAGAAGGATCACAAGTTCTAGGACTGCCTGGGCAATTTAGCAAGACCCTGTCTCAAAAAAACAAAAAATGAAAAAGGATGAGGATGTAGCTTAGTGGTAGAGCACCCCTGGGTTTAATCCCCAGTGACACACACATACACTCTCTCACTTTCTCTCTCTCTCTATCTCTCTCTCTCTCTCTCTCTCTCTCTCTCTCTCTCACACACACACACACACACACACACACACACACGCTTTATGGTAAAAGTTAACAATTTAAATCTAGAATATAAATAACTAAATGTACAAATGGAGGAAAAAGAAACAACTGAGTATAGGGTATACATAGGCATACCATTATGTACCACTTAAAAACTGTCTATGAAGATGACGACACACACAGAAGACTACTGATGATGTTAAAAGAAATAATCAATATAAAAGTAGAAATGCACTAAAATGAAAATTCCATAAGATGCCTATGAGAAAATAAATAATAATTACATAGAAGGAGGTAATATCAGAAATGATTTGTCTCCTATTTCCAAATTTATAGTAGTTTTATTATTTTTATAATTTGAAAAACAAACAAATTTTTCTAATGTGTTAACTTCTATTAGATTACTATATATAATCCAAACAGGATTATATTTGTGATATTTTATATCCAGAACTATAAAGTATATATATATATACACTCTACATACCTAACAACTACTAATAATTTTTAAGAATTCTACAAGCAAAATTAGTTGCCTAAGTATGTTCTACATATAGATTCCTAGATATCAGGGCTCCTAATCTCCTTTAGTAATCCAGAACACAGCATGACATTAATCAACAAACACTCAATAAAAGAAAGTCCCCATAGGAAGTTGGGCTTAAGTAAGAGTGGTCCACTTTATGCTTTAAATATAGCCCTTACTGCTCTGCCACTGCAACTTATTTTTAAAAGGGACAAGTAGCTTTTTCCGTTCCTCCCTAATCTCTCCCCTACCCTAATCTCTGGGGAAACAGGACTACCTTTCTTCCCCAGGTAGGCAGATGTATCTGTCCTTGAGTACACAATCCCCACAGGAAGGAAGTAATCCAGACTTTGGGGAGGGCAATTAAAAGTAAATTACCACTCCAACAGAGAACACATGGAAGGTAGCTTTTGAATCATCTCTTTAAAGCCCCCTGTTCTTGCTGATGGGCAGAATCACAGCCTTTGGGACTGGAGTCCCCTGTGTTTCTCCCTTGCTAGCAAAGCAAAAAAACCTTTTTTCTTTTTTCCCAAAACTGTGCCTTTGTTACTAGATTAGCAATGGGAACAAAGACCAAGCTTTCAGTGATACTTACAGTTAAACATAGAAAAGTAATTGAATTTATAGAAAAAGAAAATAGAAATGTGGTTTCCAGGAGGGGAGGGAGAGTAGGGGGCATTGTCTCCAATGGGTGTACAGCCAGACTTGCAAGATGCAAAGCCTGGCACTCTGTTCCACAAAGGTGGACAGCCACGACTCAGCAAACTGTACACTTAAACATAGCAGAGATGATGTCATGCCATGTGCTTTTTACCATACACAACGCACACACAAATTATAGTGTATCATACAGAGAGAAGCCCAAGTTAAGAGTTTTTGAGCTTGCTGGCTTGGGTGGAAGCTAGAACAGGGATAGGGGTGGGCGGGGGTGGGAACATCAACAAGAGGGCAAGTAGAATTGAGGAAGAAGGTGGAGGAAGAAACTGTACCATGACTCTGATGGTGGTTATACATTGTACACATTTGTCAAGGTTCACAGAACTATACACTGAAAAGGGCATCTTTTATTGTATAGGAATGATATCTTAATTTTTGAATGGGAAAAAAACGGCACTGAGTGCTTTCTACCAAGGAGAGAGCGTGAGATCAGAAAGCACTGTCCAGCTACAAAGTATCCAGGACAACAGATGGTGCTAATTCTCTGGAAGCCAAAGGCAACAGAGGAGAATCCATGTTTCTACCACTTTTTCACACAAGCTAATCTCTCTCCCTTCCTTTGGCAGTGTTCACTTATTCAAGGTCCTTTTCTTAACCACATCTTATTTTTTCTTTCCCCAGTACCTCTCCGTTTGAAGTTGTTGTTTATGCAAATGTTTGTATGCTCTCAGTGATGTGTTCCCTGAAGTCTGCCTCCAAGATGTGTGCTCACCTAGTGACTGGGTCGCTGAGTCACATGGGCGAACCAGCAGGAGTAATCAGTGGAGTGGCATACGGTATAGCCATAATATGCAAGGGAAGCCAGGAAGAAGTCAAAACAATGGATGAGCAAATACTTGTGCACTAAAGACACACTAACTCCCAATGTGGTCCCCCCAGAGCAGCCTCATGAGAGGCAGCTGTTTAGAAATGAAAGCCTTGGGCCCACCCCAGAGCTACTGAACCCTGATCTCTGTTGAAGACCAGGAATCTGTTTGAAGAGGTCTTTGGTGATGCTTAGTGTGCCAAAGCTTGAGAACCAACAGCCAGTAGCTGTGCTTCCCATACAAATCACCTGGGAATCTTATAAAAAGGCAGGTTCTAAACCATGGCCCTAGTATTCAAGGAGGGTTGAGAACCCTCCAAAGCAACTCCCTGATTTTTCAGTGACCCTGATGCATTCCAGATCAATTAAATCAGAATTTCTGAAAGTAGGATTCAGGCATTGGTATGTTTTAAAATTTCTCCATGGACAGAAGAATTGTAATGTCTCTCTAGCTCTAAAACACTATTTGTAGAAGTAAAACATTCAAAACCTCATTATACATCTTCCTGCCTTTAAAAATAAGATATCCTGAATATAAAGAAGAGGCTGTGTATAGTCAATGGCAGTCAACATTCTGCAATACCTTTAAAGCCAACTAAGATTAATTAGGCTTCTTATTATTGAAATGAAGATATAATTATTGCTTCTCTGTGCCAAAATACAAAGGACTATTTATTTATTCTATTTAAAGTCAGTTAATTTTTCTTCTCTTTTCAGATTTTCTCCTTATCTTCTATATATGCAGATAGACCCAATACTTTTATTTTTATGTGATGTTGAGGATTGAACTCAGTGCCTCACACGTGCTAAGCACTCTACCACTGAGTCACAGCCCCAGCCCTCCCTTTATCTTTTTATGCTGTCTTATTCTTCCTCAGATGATGGAAACTCACTGCCTGTAATTCTGCTGTTGCAACTTCCCATTCATTCTTTCAATTTATATTTACTAACCAGTAATTACATGTCAGGCCCTGTTTTCCGGCACTAGGGACACACAGGTAACAAAGAAAAATCCCTTATATTCTATAGGAGGTAAAATACAGTAAACAAACAGATCACATGGTCATAAGCACAAAAAAAGCAAAATAAGCAGGATGAAGGACACACACACAGATAGATGGATGTGTATGGTATTCTACATAAGTGTGCATACAGAAGAGTCAAGGATTAAGTGATATTTCAGCAGACATCTAAAGGAGATGGGGGAGGCCATGTGGACATTTGGAAGACAAGTGCTTCAAGCAAAGAGAACAGTAGGTGCAAAGCCCGAGGTTTTTACATGCTGTATCAAAGAGAAAAAAAAAAAGGGACCAGTGTGGTTAGGGTAGAGTAAGTTGGAGAAGAGGGTAGGAAACAGGGTCATCAGGAAGGCAGGGGCCTATATAGCTATACCAAGACTGGATTTTATTCTGAATGGGAGAGGAGGCCAATGGAGAGTTTGAGCATATGAGTGACATAATCATACATTTTAAAACGATCACTTTTGCTGCTTTGTAGGCTACAGATTGTAGATTTTCCCATTTCCTAACTGTGGCAGCATGTTCACTGGGACTCACCACCACACTGATAAAGCATGTGATAAAACCAATAGGAGGATCAGTGTACAACACTCAAGCATGGATATTTAACTGTAACCAGCAGAAACCAAAGAATAGACTGGACACCCTACCTGGACCTCAGTTATATGTGGAATGCAAGATTTAGGTCTTAATGGCAAGAGGGTTGCCATTTGTGGAAAAGGATCAATATCTTTCCTTGGTTTCTCTTGACGGAGGTGCCAGAATTTCAGTTCAGCTGTAGCATGTTTTGTTGAGGGTGAATGAGTAACACAAAATCTTGGTGCCCTGTTTATTGGAAAAACAAATTTAAGATTAGAGATATTAAGATTAAATTAGACAATAAGCCTCAAAAACAAAAGCCTACAAATAATCTTTAATCAACAATCAATCTTAATATATCCCTTTTCTAATAACTTCTATTCTTCTGCTCCCTAGCCTTAAAAAATATTTTTCTATATGTCAATTGCCTATGATTCTATTTGCTCATATAAAAAGGTAATGGTGCAAGAAAATATCATAAAATAATCTAAGTTATTATTTGCTTGATAAGAAAAAGAAACATGTATTGATGAAGGAAGATTTAAATAACATCTTCTAGTAAAATAAAAAACATACTGTGATCATTTTAAAGCAGTTCAGTATTTATAGTACCAATAAAAAATTGGTAGAATGGGGAATTAACATTTTTAGACATTATAAACATTTTTTGCAATGCTCAGATATGCTACTAAAGTAGGTTATGATTCAAGTTATCTATTTTCAAGATAGGAATTAATTTTACAACAATTTATATAATTAAAAGACCAATTCTACTGCAAGAAACTTAGGAAGAAGAATGTCTGGCACAATGTCAAGGCCACACTTAATTGGTTGGATATTCTGGTACTCAGTCTGTGGGTTAACTATTGTACATGAGGTTAACTCCAGCTGTCAAGGCCTGTGGCTAATTGGTTCTTGGACCAGGTTTTCCCTCAGATGCCACAGCCCAAGGACTAATTTTTATTCCATATTGCAGGACCTGGCAGAAACTTACTTCCCTTTATGATAGGAAGAAGGTATATATCTTCTCAGTGTGAACAAAGCAAGAGTGGAGGAGAATCCACAGTCCAAAAGTAGCTTAGAGTCAGGAAGCATCCCATGTAATCTCTGTGGTCATGGTCATTCTATCCTACATTTCAGAAGCTTTATTTAGCACACTTAGAGGTATCCAAAATTACTTCCTTTCACATGTCAATCAGTAAGTGGGCATATCCAGAAATGCCTTATCAAATACATCACACATCTGATGGCCAGGAAATGTAGGTGCTTCCATTTTATGATTCTTATCATTAAAGTATCTTGATTTGACTCCATAAATCCTTACTGCCCTTACCATTATAATTTTACACTCATTTCATTCACATAGCATTAATCTTTGATTAGCCATTATATGAATTCATCCAATAATATGGGCCATTTTGCAGTGAGTCCGAAACTAGTACTGTACTATTTTTGATGCTGCTATTGTATAAGTTCTTGTGTACATTTGTACATACCTTAATTCTCAAGTTCTTGTGAGTGGGAGAAATCTATTTACAGTGTACGTATGTGTGTATGAGTACTACTCAGAAATACAAAGCAACAAACTCTCGATACATACAACTTAGATATATCTCAAGACAATTGCATGAGTTTTTAAAAGCTAATGGCAAAAGATTACATACAATTTTATTTACTAGTGGTTTCCAGGAGTTAGGGATAAGGGGAGAGACAGAAGGTACGGGGTGGTTATAAGAGGGCACTACAAAGAAAGCTTGTGATATCCTAACTGTTCTGTATCTTGATTATGCTGGCACATGCATAGATATACAAAGTGATAAAGGAACTAAATACACACACAAATGAGTACATGTAGAACTGGTAATATGTAGAAAAGATGGACATATCCTATCAATATTAATCTCTTCACTGTGATATTGTACTATAATTATGCAAGGTGTTACCATTGGGAGAAACTGGATAAAAGTTCCATGTGAATATACAATTATCTCAAAACAAAAAATCTACGATTATCTCAAAACAAAAAGTGTAATTAAATAAAGGAAAATCTCCCCGTGTTGGTAATGTTTTATTAAGTTGGATCGTGTGTGCATATGTACCCACTATAGTATAATTCATACCTTTCTGTATGTCTTAAAATATCAAAGAATAAATTTTCTGAAGAAAAGAACAGAACATTACATATAGAAAAGTACAAAGCATGTACGTAATCTAGAATACTTAGGTGGGAGATGATGTCAGAGAAGTTGACAAGGAACAAATCATGATTACCTGATTTACTATTTTTTTTTTTTTTTTTTTTTTTGGTACCTGGGATTGAACTCAGGGGCACTCAATCACTGAGTCACATCCTCAGCCCTATTTTGTATTTTATTTAGAGACAAGATCTCACTGCACCTCACCATTGCTGAGGCTGGCTTTGAACTTGCAATTCTCCTGTCTTAGCCTCCAGAGCCACTGGCTTGTGCCACCACGCCCCTCCTGATTTGCTAATTTTTAAAAATATCTGAATTTTTCTTTGGGAAAAACAGTGAGATTTAAAGCAGAGAAATGACACAATCAGATCCAACAGTTACAATGTACACCATGCCGATCCTCAAACAGCACACATTTTAATCTATACTGTGTTTGTTCGCTTTTCCTTGCTACCAGTCCTTTGAGTCTCAAGTAAAATGTGCCCTCTTCTCTGTGCTAAGCAGGGACCACGTGGTGTGCATTCACCATATTTCCTATTATTTAATTTCACCTGTCCGTTCCTCTCACTGGACCATGACCCCTACCTAGTTGAACAGGTTTTATCCTTTATCCATGGCAAGCACTTGGCCTAAAGGAAATGCTCAAAAAATGTTCATTGAGATGATAAAACTGTAACATTAGTTTTATGTATACACACACACACATACACACACATACACCAATTTTATGGGATACTGATCATAAAAGAGTAAGGTGTAGAAGGATGTGCTCACAAAGTTAAAAGAAAACTTAAGTCCAATCTCATTATGGATTTAGTCACCCAAATATTCCAATTACTTAAAAGTTAAGTATTTTTAAGAGGGTTAAAGATTAATAATGTTATTTAAATTTCCATGCATTATAGGCCAATCTGACAAAAGGCATAACTCATAAAATAGCCTAAGAAAAGTGAAAGTAAAAAACTTCAATTCACATTATTTTTCTTACCAATACAGAAGTAAAGGTTTTAAAACCTCAGACTGAATATTTTTTAAATGTTCTTCAGTCCAGTGAGATCCATCTAACAGTTTAAATTTTGATAAGATTTCTGCAGAAAGGTAGCAATCTCCACTGCTCACTAGATAGCATTTTTTCATCTTCTCAAGATGTCTGAAATAAAACACATACCTACATATACACACATATTGACACAATATTCTATTAACCAAATGTGTTTCAGACAAATAATGGACTATCTCAAAACCAATATAGAAATACCACACATTTTTTATGGTGATACAAATATTTCTCACAGTTATGGGAATAACAGAAGGGCATCTGTGGGAGGCTGAATGGTTTTGCAAAGCTGTCCACATCCTGATCCCCAGAATTTGTTAATTTGTTACCTTACATGGTAAAAGAGGCTTTACAGATGTATTTAGATGAGGACTTTAAAGAGATTATTTTGGATTATCAGGGTCGTCCCAATGTAATGACAAGAGTCCTTTAAAAGAGGGAAGAAGGAGAGACAGTCATAAGATGTGAGGACAAATAGAGAGGTCAGGGGCAAGATGCCATGCTGATGGTTTTGAAGATGGAGGAAGAGGCCACAAACTCAGGAATGGAGGTGGCCTTTATAAATTAGAAAAGGCAAAGAAATGGATCTCCCCTCCCCCACCCAGAGCCTTCGGACCTCCAGAACTATAAGAGAATAAGTAAAATTTAGTTGCTTTAGGCCACAAAATTTAGGTAATTTTTTTGTGGCAATAATTGAAACAGTATTAATCCTGAAAAACCTATGTAGGTTACTTGCATGTAACTTCTGTGATATGTCTTGAAAAGTGTAATGACCTTCACTCCATAATCAGTCAGGTCACACTCCATAACCAATCATGGTGCCTCAGCTCTTAAAACATTAAAATAACTAGAATAATCCTATCATTCAGCATATACTCAGTCTAATCTTAATAGGAATTGCAATCTACTGTAGATAATCTGCTTCAGAGAAGATCAGGAAACTACAGTCAAAATAAGGACTTTCCTAAAATAGTGTCCTCTTAAAATTCTTAGACTTCCGGTAACCTACACTATATGGAGCTAACCTGAACCCCATTAGATCTCCAGGAGGCTTTCCAGTGGAGAGACTCATTCAGATATCCAGCTACTTGGAATCAGATCTAAGTTCATGCAATCTATTAACCAAGGAGGTTTTGCTAGGAACAGGCCCTTACAAACTGACATGAATAGCTCTACTATGCAAGTGTGCTTAAACAATTGATAAGTTTTTGTCTAAAACATTTAACATCATTGGAATGTTATAAAAACTTAAGTAGAAAATTTTAGAATAGTTCTAGAATTTATGGGATGAAACATTATGCAAACCCAAATCATTCTTATATTAGTACCTGAAAGCTATGAAAACAGAAAATTTGTGAAATCAAAATGTAGTATTATTATAAAAGAAATTTTATCATTATTCATTCCTCTAGAAGCGTAAGCTACATTTTTATATTTATTTCAGTCTTTCTACTTGTCTTAAATAACCCAAATATTCTAGAATTTGTTTTTGAAACTATTGAATAATAAAAAATAGAAGTACCTTTGATGTCTTCCAGGGTCCTTTAGAACTTTCAACCTTTCAATATCCATCCATAGCCACAAATACTTTTCCCCTAATGTGCCCTTCATAAATTTCTTAAATCTTTCAAACTCCTTTCTATTGCCAATGTCATAAGTTCTGTGAGACATACACCAGTCAGCCCTGCTCTCAGGTCCAATGCTCTCACTCGTTGAACTTGTTTTTTCTAATATCTCTTCTGACTTTTTTTCCTTTTCAGTTTGAACTGGTTCAGCTAAAACATTCTTGCCAAAGAAAGGATAAAAATAATCAGGAAACGACACTTGATCTACTTTGTCGAAATCTATATAGTCTGGGCTTTCTGTGAGAGGCTGGCCAGTAATTTGCTGAATGGCTGCTCTTAAAACAGAGTATATAAACAAGTTTAAAAATTCTTCACACGTTGAGAAGTGCAATGTCAACTTTTCATTAGCCGCATCCCGTTGCTTCTCAAGGTATACTCTCAGAAGAGCATGAGAGGGAGTATCTTTTAGAGATATAGACCCTTCCTCCTCTTCTTCAAATTCAGCGATTTTAGAGAGGCTTTTTTTGGTCCTGGGGTGAACTCCATCATCAAAGATAAAACTCTCTGTATTAAATGATAAAGTGTGGTTAAGTTAGATATGAGACAAAATTGATATTGTTACACAGATGTTATAGAGCCTGCATAGCAAATGACTTTATCACAGGGATGAGCACATGGACCAGTATTTTCAGAAGGGTTCTGAAGCCACATTTGGAACCAGTAGGGGAAAAAACTGCCAACAGTTGCCTTCCTTGTCTTCCTTGAACATGGCAAGGGAGGCAGATGGACTAAATATTTGATACTCCTAACACAGAGAATATTCAAAAAGACATTGTATGCTTTTAAAATTTAATATTTCAGACTGATATAGAATGACAAACATAAAGACCAAATCTATTAGAAAAGTAGAAAGATGTATATTAAATAATTATATGTGCATGTTGTGTAACAAAGGAAAATTAGCTGCCATAGATGATGAGACCACAGATGATCAGACAAGAACTGGAATCATTAATTCTTTAACATTCACTATTTTAGAAAAAAGATTCAAATCCTAACATTCTTACAACCTATCATTAAAGTTACAAAAGAACAAGGCACTTATGAAGGCTTACAAATGGATTATTTTTACACTCTTTCTAAAGACATGGTATTTAGCTCCCATTTTTCTCTTAGAAATCAGTGAATATCAGATGGCAGCACTATATTTCACATCGTCAGTATAGCCACAGACCAGGTGACTGTTGTCATCTGTACCCACCCTTGATTAATATTTTCTTAGTTACTAGATTTCAAATCGCAATACACTAGAAATATTTCACTTTAATTTTTATTAAAAAATACCTATATACACTGCATTTTCCTACCTAATATCATAGACTTTGTGAAACTTCCAGGAGTTTCTGGGCTCAATCCCATAGAGTGGGAGGGAGCATATGACACAGACATCTCTGCTCACCATCCTCCTATGGACCTTGTTTTTCATATTTACTCTCTATACTTTCTAATATTATATTTTAGCATTTTGAAGAAATAGCAAGAAACCCATAAATCCAATATTAAGGAGTTTATGTTCCTCTTTACCTAGACCTAGATTTAATTCTAGAGTATCCAGATTTATCTTCTCCTAAAGTTGCACATACCTTTCAGAAGGTTTAGAGTTAATACACTCTTACAGTTAGTAACTGTTTAAGTGAATTCCTGAACACTTTTCCTGAATCACATCTAGATTTTTTCCTCTAATAATATTATAGCTAATAAGTTCCATTTCTAGAAGTTTCCTTTTTTTTATAGTTGTTTTTGTGGAACGTTTGTATCACCCACAAAAGTACCTATAATAGCAGTAGAAATTTATTTGCTTTTTGAGGAAAAAAATCGTCTGAACTTAAAAAACAGACGGGAAACTCAATTTCTATGAATGACTTCACTTTTAAGAAGACAGAACTATTGTACCCACTTTATTGCAAAGGCTTAATAATAAGAACTTGTGAACTGTGATAGGAAATAAAGATAAGATAAACATTTATCAACTGTAGATTAGGTGCCAAGCACGAGGGTAGGCATTTTCTATACATTTAGCATGTATCATTGTCTAATCTTATAGAGGAGAAAAACAAGAAGTGGAATAAATCATAAAAAATTCACACAACGTATAAGTATTCGAGTTGGGTTCTTTTAAACCCTCCCCTTTCACCATCCCAACCTGCTTCTCAAGAAGCAAGAGGAAGTGAAGAAGAGGCATGGGCGGTGTGGATAATGTTTTCTCTTCAGTCACAAGTCCTATAAGACCAGAACAAACAACAAACAAAGAGAAGCTCTGAGTCAATCTTGTCCTTTTCTGCTTACCAGTAATGGGTGAAATCGCTGGAGATTCAATTGTGCTGTGGGTTATACAACAGGGTAATGAAAAGGTACATACAGTTTCCTGACTTTGTTTTGCTAGTGTAAACCAATCTTTTGTTTGAGTGAAGGAAGCCTAGGAAAAATTGAACATAAGATTAACAGTAATTCTCCAATTGCCAACCTGGACAAATCATTAAATAATATTCAATTTGTGAAGTACAATATGTAATGGGAAAATTACTCTGTGAAAAAAAGAAAAATTGTACTAAAATGCATTAAGCAAGAGGATAACTTCAATCCATATTTTTTTTTCATATCACATAATCAAAGGAAAAAAATGAGCACAATACCATCAAATTCTCCTCCACACTTACTCTCAGGTTATTGCTGACTAAAGCTGGACATGAAACCCTCCTTTCTGGATTTACTACATCCTTTGATGTATCTTTTGCTACCTCTTCTCATTTACAACCTTTCCAATTATTTCATGCTCTCGATTCTGCCTGACCTGGCTCAACGTTTTTATCAGCTCCTCCTCAATGGGATAGACCTCTACTCTTAGCACCACTGGCAACCTCTCCAAGCTTAGCTGCCCCCTTTGCCTAAAACTCCATTTTTACAACTTTTCTTGGATTGGATGCTTCCTGCAGACTGATTGATTCCTGACTCCAATTGCTCCTTGGTCAGTTCCTCCTTTGCTTTGTGTATCCCAAGCCAGCTGGCCCAATTCCCAAGCTGATTTGTAACTTCTAGAACCCCAGCCCGTAAGAAACTCCTATCCCAGCTTTCCTGGGAAAATTCCTCTGGCTGCCTCTCTCTCAGAAATGTCATCTCCTATTTTTTTCCTAGATAATCTAAGTTGTTTAACAGGAACAGAGAAGGGAGTGTCCTGCATTCCTCTCATTTCTCCTTTCCTCAATTGTCAGCTGGTGGGCACTTAGCCTAGCACTCACGGAAGAGGCAGGGCTCAAATGAAAGACAGTGTCCCCTGTCTATTATACAGAATTAGCAGGACAAGTCAGGCCACACAATGAGACTAAAGCAAGAGAGAAAATGGAGAAGTGCCTCTCTGCATAGCCACTACCCATCTTGGGGGGAAGGCTCCTTGTGCATGAAAGCTTTGAAAGACTAAGAAGTCACCTTTGTTCCCTCTTTTCTTTAAAACCAGGTCATTTAATATTAATTATATGTTGCTCAATATTTACTTATAGAGCTACTATGCTTCTAAGCAGTATCTTAAGTACAGAGAGGAGGCTAAAAATTGAGGCTCAAGACATTGAGTGAGAATAATATACCAATGTCCCTGCTATTTCAACTGCATAAAAAGGATAAGAGAGTAGAGGACAGGGGAGAAAAAAATCATCAGTTGGTCATCAGTTAATTATTCCACTTGACACCTTTAAGAGGGGCCAATTGTGTTTAGATGGTGTAACTAAAGGCTCAAAGAAATATTACCAATTATCATGAAGATTAATTCATATTTATAGTCATTTAAATAATTTAAGAGTCAAAAATTATGAATCCTCAAAGTTCAAAGGCTATGAAAAATTATGTGATGTAGTTAAAATATTAATCAAGTGAACAGAAATGAGTTTTTTTAATCTCAGAAAACAGCAAAAGTAAACTAGCTTGGATTTTTACTTCCTATATTTGATTAATTTCACATAAAAGGAGTCAGGACTTAGTCTCCTGGATTGATCTTCCCTTTGCAAGTTTATTGGCCTCAACTATCAGTCCGTATTTTATGACATTCATGACATTTCTGTAATATATAAATTAAGAAAAAAATGCTTAAAAATAAGTATAAGAGAGAAGAAAAATATGCCTTTAGTACATCATTAAGCATTATCGAGTAGAAATAATGGACTGGTATAATTTTAAACATTCTTGATAAAGATTACTGATAGAAATGCCCCAATGATAAAATTAACTAGAAGATACACATGGGGAAAAAAGTTTAAATACCATAAGTCTATCCATTCCAACACAGACAAAAAAGAGGTTTCCTTTTATCTGGCATCTTTAATCAATAGGAAGTGCCTGTCTAAAAAAAAACTGTATTGAAAAGAATTTGGAGTCAAGCCCTAGCTCAGCAGAAAAAGTGCCACAATTGATTAGCAATGTCTGTCCTGAATGAGCACTAAGAAAGCAACAGCACATGGAGCACATATTTGCCATTCCTGATTTTGTATACAATTGTTTATCAGAAGCATATTCCCTGAAATAAGATCTGATTAAAATTAGAGGATAAATGCTGCAATGATCCAAAAGGACATTTGATTCTAGGTTCTATCTCTTCCAATGCATTCATACAGTTCCACATTTCTACAATCACGGAGGATAAATTTTTATCTCATAGCAGTTAAAAAATAATGCATTTTACTACTAAGGAATTATAGCAGTACAGGGGTGAGAAGATCCAATTCATCATCTTTTTGTGCAAAAGTTAACTGAATCCAAATAACAATTTTGGAATGAACAATTAAATCAGGGGTAATGCATGTTATGCTTGCTTCCTGGGTGACACTGAGATGTTCTTTAGTCTTGCTTTTGTTACTTCAGATGTGAAAGGATACCTTAATCTAACTCTATTTTAAGTGAAAGAATAAATAGAAAATGAGTACACATAAATCCCCAAGAACTATTGTTAAGTATGCTTTAAATGGGGTTAAATTTTTTTTTTTTTTTGGTGGGAGGGGTAGGGGTGGCTAGGGGTAATGGAGATTGAACCCAGGAGCACTTTACCACTGAGATATAACCCAGTCTTTTTATTTTTCATTTTGAGATAGAGTCTCACTAAGTTGCTGAGGCTAACCTCAAACTTATGATCCTCAGGCTCCTAAATTGCTAGGATTACAGGTATGTGCCACTGAGCCTGGCTTTAAAAGCTTTTGAAATCATCTTCTCTGCTTAAGTAGTACAAATGACATACATACCTATGAAACAAAAAGTTTCATTGAAGTTCTATCATGAAAAATTACTAATACTTTTACCTCGCCAAGAGAAATGTAGAACTTTTTCAGAACCAGGAGATTGTCTTCTTCATCATGAGGAGGCTGTGGAGTAGGCAGTTTTCTCATGATCCAAGGAGAAGTATCTGCACCAAGTGTGAAAGTCATACCTGACTGGCTCCATCTTACTTGTGAGACTAATTTGGCTAACCTGAAATGCAGAAATCATGAATTTTGAAATAAGTTTCAAATATGGTAGAATTCAGGAAAAAGAAACCCCTAAAATTTTATTTTATGTATTCTTCTCCTCGTAGCTCTGCAGGATGATTCTCTTAAGCTCTGCTAAAACCAATGGCTTATTTATCAAACCACTCATTACTTAATATTTTTCTATTCTAATTTATTTTATTTTAAAAATGGTTGTTCTAAGCAAAAGTCAAATTTTAGTATAATTTCAGAATGCTTAGGTATTTATAGTTTAAAAGTCAGGGAACATAAAGGAAAATCTTGGCCCTATATTGACATGCTATCTTTTATTTATTTTCTTTTTCTTTTTCTTTTTTTTTTTTTTTTTGTTCCAGGGATTAAACTCAGGGGTACTAAACCACTGAGTCACATCCCCAGTTCAATTTTCTATTTTTATTTAGATAGGGCCTCACTGATTTGCTTAGTGCCTCACTTTTTGCTGAGACTGGCTTTGAACTCATGATCCTCCTATCTCAGCCTCCAGAGCTGCTGGGATTATAGGCGTGCGCCACTATGCCTGGATGACATGCTATCTTTTTAATGTCACACTAACATTCATTTGTAAGCACCCACACATAAATAATTTTTAAAGTATAATGATCAAAGAAGTTTAATTGAAGTACATTGGTTAAGTGATGCTTCTGTGAAATCTCTTTGGAAAAGTTAAGCAATTTTTGTCAGTGGTCTCTCACTCTTATTCTATAGCAGGTGGATCCAACTCCATTGGAGTCAAAGGCATACCATTTTACTAAGAAATCACAGAAAAAAATGACTTTAGTTGAAAAAGTAGGCATTTAAAAATAGGTATACAACAATAATAGATATATGAAACTCTAATACCTGTATTCAAAGTAGCAATCACTTTCTAGAAATGCTGGAAGTCTTTGTTTTTTGATCCACTTAATACCTTGTTCACGATTGAGACACTATTAGGAGAAAGTGAAAAAACGGTGTCAAAGAAAGTCACCTTTTAGGAAAACTGAGGCCTAATCATGAGAGCAATACTGATCTCCTGCTGTCACTAGGCACTCCACTCCTACCTCTCTGTACAAGAGAGAGCAATGACCCTGAGCCACAAATGTGAGGCAACTTCTTGCGTATAGTACCTCTTTCATTCTCTCAAAAACCCTGTATCAACTATTATCTCCATTTTATAAATTAACTAGTTGAATCCAGGAAAGTTAAGTAACTTACTGGAGGAGGAGGAAGAGGAAAGAGAAAAAAAGAAAAGTCAGTCAATTTTAATATTTCTACTATCATAAAATAGGTTACGATAATCATAAACAAATCCAGGCCTGGTGGCATACATCTGTAATCCTAGTGACCTGGCCAAGGCAGGAGAATCTCAAGTTCAAGTTCAAGGCGTCAGTAATTTAGCGAGACCTTATCTCAAAATAATATAAAAAGGGGTAGGGATATAGCTCAGTGGCAGAGTGCCCCCTGGGTTCAATCCCCAGTACTACTACTACTACTACTACTACTACTAATAATAATAATAATAATAATAGCAGTAGTAGTAGTAGCAATTATCATCATTATCAGAAACATAAAAAGAACCACCAAGGAAACAATAAAGGCCACTGTAGTGTAAAATTTTTTTGGTCAAATATTAAACACTCCCAGGCACTTTCCTAGAGATACCAAGGCTGTATTGTGGTGCCACAGTGCAGGATTCTGTGGGTGCCCACATACACACCCAACTCAGGAGATGTTTCCACAGAGCATGTCCTGCACTCTCTGACCTAAAGCATGACTAGCTAGGTTGTGGAAGGGAAGAGGGGACAAGTTTATATATTAGACCACAGAATGCAATCTGAGGGATAAAAGGAGGAAGGCTGGAGGAGCAGGCTGGGGCCTGACTGTGAATAGTCTTAATTAACATTAAAGAGTTTAGATTCTACCTTGAGGTTGTGAAGGCAATACAAAATTACTGAGGAGTTTTTAAGCTGCTATTCATCCTGAAAAACCTACTCACTATTGATTTTAATTTTTTTTATTCACTTTTTTCACAATTCTAAAGAATGTCAGTACTTCAACAAATGCCACCAAAAAGTAAAACCACCAATAAAACACACATCTCAGTGACATATTCGTGTCTGCATTTGTGTGGCTTTCATGGACCATTTGCTACAACCTAGTTTTGCTGTGACAATAGCATTAGATGTCAACACAGACCATTACTAACTCCATGAGGAAAGTGATTGACCACGGTAGTGCTACTGGCATCATGAACATCCGATGTTCATGAGAATGCACATGTGCTCAATCAACATTGCTGACATTTGGCACAAAGTCATTAGGCTCTTGTGAATGGAAAACTTGGCACACAATGGTCTCCTCCTGTTCAGCAAAAACATCCACTTGGTTTCATCAAACACTATCTTCTGGGCAACAAAAGAATAGAAGAAAACTATGGAAACAGCCAGCACCTGAATAGTATAGCACCTTACTGCCTGCCTGCCTTGTGGCTTACAGTGAGATCTAAAAGAAATTTGGATCTTGCAGTTAGGAAGACTCCAAAGATGCTACAAACTGACAACCCTTCAGGATGCTGAAGTCTTCATTAGCAGTACATTCAGTGGGTTAAAAAAAAATGCCAATTCAGGGCTATGGCACACACCTATAATTCCAGTGGCTTGGGAGGCTGATACAGGAGGATTGCAAGTTCAGAGCCAGCTTCAGGCACACAAGGCGCTTAGCAATTCAGTGAGACCCTCTCTCTAAAAAAATACAAAATAGGGCTGGGGATGTAGCTCAATGGTCGAGTGCCCCTGAGTTCAATTCCCCTCAAAAATGCCAAACTGTGTATAAAGAGCAATATAAAACCTTTAGGAATTCTATAAGGTTGTCAGATTAGTTAGTTCATCCAAAACCAAACTGCCTAATAATTAACTAAAAAATTGTTTACCTGCATATTTCCACCTTTTACAAAATATGGGCATCTATTTGACCCAAAAAGAAAAGTTTGAAAAAATAAAATTGATTTTTATAACCATCCTGGTAGATGTCAAGTGACATCTGGTAGTTTGGATTACATTTTCTGTATGACTAAAGATTGTTGAATACCTTTTCATGTGCTCATTGGACATTTATATCTTCTTTGAAGAAATGTCCATTCAAATTCTAGTCGGACTTTTAAATTGTCTTTTTAAATCTCCCTTCTTATTGTTAGGTTGTAAGAGTCCTTTATAAAATCTACATACAAATTTTCATAAAATATGTAATCTGTAAACATTTTCTGCAGTTGTATAGGTTGTCTTTATTGGTAATCTGTTTTAGAGCATAATTTTTTTTAAAGTTTTTGAGCGGGTGGTACTGGAGATTGAATCCAGGACCTTGCACATACTACACAAGTGCTCTGCCACTGAGCTACATCCCCAGCCCTTTTAATTTTTTTTTTTTTTAATTTGAGACAGGATTTCACTAAGTTGCCCAGGTTAACCTTAAACTTGCAATACTCCTTCGTCAGTCTCCTGAATAGCTGAGATTACAGCTGTGTGCCACCACACCTGGCTAAAAATTTTAAAATTTGATGAAGTCCAATTCATTTATTTTTTTCTTTTGTCACTTGTACTTTCCCCATCATATCTAAAAAAAAAAACAACAAAACAAAACAATGCTTAATCCAAGATAATAAAGATTTATGCCCATGATATCTTCTAAAACACGATAAAAATTATCTTTTTTTATTCTTGCATTGCTGAATTCAATTTGCCTACCTTTTTTTTGAGGATTTTTGTGTCCACATTCATGAGAGATATTTGTCTGTCATTTTTTTGTTTGTTTTGTGGTAGTGGGTATTGAACCCAGAGTTGCACTACCACTGACCTAAATGCCCGGCTCTTTTTATTCTGAGACAGCTTCTCCCTAAATTGCCGACGCTGGCTTCAATCTTGTGATCCTCCTGCCTTGGCCTCCCAAGTTACTAGGACTAAAGGCAAGTACCACCATACCCAGTTGTTTGTGGGTTTTTTTTCTTTTCCTTGAATTTTCTTTAGTGATAGCATCAGAATAATGTTAGCCTCATAAAATTGAAATGGAAATTGATCTCTCCTTTTTTTTTGGAAATTTTCATGAATTTGGTATTATCTCATTCATTACAACACTCATTACTAAATGTTTGATAGAATTTATCAGTGCAGCTGCTAGGACTGGAATTTTCTTTGGGGGAAGATTTTTAACTGCAGATCCAATTCCTTTAACACAGGGCTACTCAGATGATATGTTTTTAAAATGTTTTTATTAGTGCATTGTAGTTATATGTAATATTGGGGTTCATTTTGACTCAATCATACACGTGTGGAATATGTGCTCCATTTTAGTCCTAGTACTTCCTCTTTCCCTCCCCTTCTCCCTTCTCCTTATTCTCCTTCCTTTACTCTACTGATCTTCCTTCAATTTATTTGTTATTCTTTAATTGGTGCTTTATAGACATATATAAAATCAGAAATCACTGTAGTATATTCACATAGCATAATTTAGCCAATTTCATTCTGCAGTTCCTCCCTTTTCCAGTCCTGCTCCCTCCCCGTCTTTTATTCAGATTATCTTCATCCCCTTGAGTGAGCATCCATAATTTGTGTCTTTTGAAGAATATAGCCATTTAATTTAAATGATTGAGTTTATGTAAAGTTGTTTGTAAAATTCTCTTATTTTTCTTTGAACATCTATAAGGTTTGTAATGATATCCTTTCTTTCATTTCTGATTGTAGTCATTTATCTTTTGTCTTTTCATTTTTTATCATCTAGCTAAATGATTATCAATTTCATTGATTTGTTTCCCAAAGAAGAAGAATTCATTTTCATTTGATTTTCTCTCTTTAATTTAATTGATTTTCTCTGTTCAACTTAATTGATTTTGTCCTTTACTTTGGATTTGATTTTATTTCACTAGTATCCTATAGTGGAAGGTGGATCATGATTTGAGTTTAGTATTTTCTATTATAAATACTTGATGCTATAAATTTCTTTCCACAGACTAATTTAGCTGCATCCTCCAAATTGTGATGTGCTGGATTTTGATTTTCACACTCAATTCAACACAGTTTCTCATTTCCCTTGAGATGTTTTGTTTAATTACTTAAATATTTGTGGAGATTTTCCAGATATTTTTTGTTATTAATTTATAGTTTAATTCTGGGTTAGAGAGCATATTTTGCATGCTTTCAAATCTTTTAAGTTTGTTGAAATTTGTTTCGAGGCCCAGAATATGGTCCATTTTGGTAAATAGTACAAGTGTACTTAAAAAAAATGTGTACCTGCTACTATAGGGTAAAATTTTCATAAATATTAACTACATTGTCTTGATTGTCAGTGTCATACAGAACTTCATGTCCTTACAGATCTCCTACCTTTTCTATTGATTACTGAGAGAGCATAGTTTTCATCTCCTACTGTAACTATGGACTTGTCTGGTTCCTCTTTCAGTTCTGTCAGCTTCTGTACTGTATATTCTGAAGTCCTCTTGTAAGGTGGATACATTTTGTGGATTGCCAAGCTTTCTTTGTGAATTGACCCCTTTATCATGATGGAACATTCCTCTTTTTCTTTTTTTTTAATAATTGATTTTTTAATGTATGGACACAGTACATTTTTATTTATTTATATATTTTCATGTGGTGCTGAGGATTGAACCCAGTGCCTTACATGTGTGAGGCAAGTGCTCTACCACTGAGCTACAGCCCAGCCCCACACGCCTCTTCTTCCATAGCGAGATTCCTTGTTCTGAAATCTACTTTGTCTAGTATTAATATAACCACACTCGCTTTCTTTTAATTAGTAATTTTATGGTATACCTTTTCTATCCTTTTTTTTTTCTAATCTAGTTATGTCTTATATTTAAGGTTGATTTCTTGTAGACAAAAAATAGCTGTTTTTCTTTTTTATCCCATTTGACTCTGACTTTTTGTTTTAAAGATGGACACACAATATCTTTGTTTATTAATTTATTTTTTACATGGTGCTCAGGCTCAAACCCAGTGCCTCACACGTGTGAGGCAAGTGCTCTACGACTGAGCTACAGGCCCAGCCCCTGACTCTGACTTTTAATTGCGGTGCTTTGGCCACTTAAATTTCATGTAATTATTGATGTTTATTATTTCTTCACTAGTAATTATTGTTGCTAATAAATATCATAGGCACATCAAGTAAAAAATCTTTTTTAACAAACAACTGATAACATTTAGACTTTAGGGGTAGGGGTTGTGGCTCAGTGGTAGAGCACTTGCCTAGCACACATGAGGCACTGGGTTCAATCCTCAGCACAACATAAAAATAAAATAAAGGTACTGTGTTCACCTACAACTAAAAAATATGTATTTTTAAAAATTTAGACTTTATTTCCTCGTTTTGGCTTCAAAACAATGCCTTAATGTAGGTATTAATATTAGCATTTAATTTGATAAAGTTAACAGGAAAGATAGAATATATATCTCAATTTAGTAACTGAAGAATTAAAAAACTTTAAGGCTGGAATAGAGCTATGTATGAAGTGTTAGACCTATTTTAGCCTATTTCTGTCAGATAAAAATAGTATTGTTAAACATTCATTATTATTGTCATTTGATCCACAGAACAAACCTAAGCACTAGGTAGTGAATGCATGACAGATGATGAAAATGAGGTTCATCAAAGTGAGTTGTTGAAGGACACAGACCTGGTAAATGAACAACCCATGTCAGAACCCAGAATTTTGACCTCATGCTAAGAAGACAAAAACTAGAGGCGGTTAATAGAATTTAAGACCCGGGAGGTCAAAGCCACCTGCAGCAACTTGAGGATCAAAAGTTTTGACTACTAATTGTTTAATGGTATTGGTTTAAAACCCAAGTGAAGTAAATTCTCCATATAAACTCACATTTCCTACAAAGCAACTAATCTACATAGTAAAGAATATACATTTATATTGCCACAAAATAACCTGATAATAAGTATTCCAAGTAAATTATGTTAACCTTCTTAGTTGATAAACAGCAATAAAATTGCTAAATTGACCACTAGCTATGCACAGATGATATAGTGCATAACAAATACTATGTGTATGTACAACAATAAATACAGTTAGATTTCAGAAAGGGAGGTCTAAAGAACTATAATTTATTCTCACCAAACACTTTCTCTTTCAAGATATAAACTCAGATATGCTTTCTTACCATAATATTGTAGTTGACATTAATAGTCTCATCTTCACTGGGGACACTCATGTGAATGGGTTTAACATCATTCTTTCCTTTCCTTACTACATCATAGATGGGATTTCGAGGTTGCTGACTTTGTAGAATTTTTTTCAGTTGCTTTTCCAGAAGTTGTGGAGCATCGTTAATCACTTCAAAAACTCCAAAATCCACATTAAATCTTATTGCCTCTGAAAATGTCTGCAATATAAATGTGTGGAAATTTTTTAAAAAATTTAAACCCAGAAACTGTCTTTAAGAAGACTTGGTGTTTATACATATGCGTGTGCACTTAGTTTTGTGTTCTTAATCATCTCCTTCTCCCATTAGGAGCTTGGAAATCCCTTGGCTAGAGATGAGGGGATCCACCAAGTCCTTCCTTACCAGTGACTTGAGATAAGTGACAGGGTATGATGTGGTAGAAGTTCCCTTTGTATAAACATTTTATTTTTGTTATTCTTTGAAACTAAAGAAAAATGAAGCAATCTCATCCTCTAAGAAGGGGGTGGATTCGAAGGGAAGAATGAATAAAGGAAGAAGAAATAAGGCTCCCATTATCTCTTTTATCCCCAGGAGCCATGAAAGCTAACAATCTCCCATTTCTAAAAGAGAAAATTAAGGACAATATGTTCTTCATTAAAATTATTTCAACACCATTCCTCTCTCTGTAACCAAAAAAAAAAAAAAAAAAAGTGAAAGAGAATAACACTGTTGAGCTTTTCTCAATAACTACTAAATGCTGACAGCTTTTATTTAAAGTTAGCTAGTTAATATACAATAGTCATGAGTCTTTGAAAGCCAACTTGACAATAAATAGCTCTATGACTTTGGGTAATCATTAAACATATTGGGTTCTTTATTTCCATAAAAAGTGAATTGGTGCATTAGTCAAGTATTGTCCCATTTTGCTGTCTAAATCCAGAGACAGGTCCCTTGTTCATGATATTCATTTATTTTAAGGTACCTTCAATAAATTGACTACTCATTTTTTTTCTAGTTCCGAGTATCCACAGAATATGCAGTTAGCCAAATAGTAGAAAACATTAACCTCTTCCCCATGGATCAGTAAGTGTCCTAAGTACAGCATTAATTCTTACAAGTTTTACTAAGGAATTGCAGGATACACTAGTTATACCTTAATAAATGATAAAATGTCATTGGAAAATTGGAGCTAGAAAAATATATGTATATGTGTATGTGTTTACATTTATATAGAGATGTAAAATAATATCATGTTTCTAAAGTCTGTCTGTCTTCCCTCCTAAGGAATTTAAAGTTCATGAACAGGGCTGGGGTTGTGGCTCAGTGGTAGAGCACTTGCCTGGCATGTGTGAGGACTGGGTTTGATCCTTAGCACCACATAAAAATAAATAAAATAACGGTACTGTGTTCATCTACCACTAAAAAAAAAAAAAAAAAAAGAATTAAATGTTTAAAAAATAAATGAAGTACATGATGAACAAACAGAGCTCAAGAAGATTATTGGTCCACGGTCTAAAAAGCCTCAAAGCCAAGCCTTACCTCCAAAATGACAAGCCTGGCTCAATGAATAAGTATGAATAAATTGTGTATTAGAATGTGTATAAGTATGTGTATAAGAATGCATTGATAAGTATATATATTTTTTGTTGGTTGCCTAGCATCTTTCAAATATGGAGATTCAAACAGGCACCACTTATCTGAATGTGAAATATTATTCCTGAATTATGCTATTAATTGACTGAAGAGATAAAAGAGTGCTGATATCATAGACTGGATTTATCTAGCTAGAGAAGGAAATGAATTAAACTCAGTAGTAAAGGGACATCACAGATCATCGGGATGAGAGAAATGGAAGAGGAAATGTGAAAGACCTGGAAAAGATTTTTTCCTAGGTCCGAATATCCACAGAACAAGTGAATCAGCTTGACCTTTGTTGTTTTCCTTTCTTTTTTCTGCTTTCTACCCTCAGATCTGGTAGCAGAACACAAAGCTATGATGGTTTAAAGTACAGAATGCCAACTAGTCAGGTCAATAGATAAAGAAAAAAATTCTACTAATCAAGTAAAAAAAAATGCTCAAGTAAAAAGCATTAGAGGAACTGTGGCACTCTGAGCCCTTCAGTAACCAATCTTACTTAGCAGTACTAAATAGTTAAAATACAGTGGCAGAAATAACAGGGGAGATAAAAATCTACTGTTCACTGGCCATCTACCCTGTGCAGGTATGTGATGGACACCTTAACAGCACTCCAAGTCCTTCCACATTCCTGAGATAGGTCTTTACAGAAAACTAATGCTCAAGATGGCTAAGTGATATGATAACCCATAGATTCAAACCCACGAAGTGATAGATCAGCGCTTTGGAAATAAGCCTGTCTGGTTCCAAAGAACCTTTCTTTACTGCATTGCTTCACAGACAATAAAACTAACACATCCTGACCACTTTTTCAACGCCAGGCACTGTGCTAAGTAATAACCCTAGATAGTTAAGAGGATTCCCAGTGTTTGGATTCCAAAGCCTATGCCTCCCTTTACTTTGGGATTACTAGTAAAGGCACAGAAGCATGAAGCAACATGGTGGGTGTGGGTGACTTGAAGCAGTTCAACACAGTTGGAAAAGAACTAGAATAGCGAGAGGTAGAAAAGTTTAAGGAATAGAGGAAAGAGACCTGAGGCACATAAGGTAGATAGGACCAGATCATAAACGTCTTTGCATGCTATTTTAAGAAGTAAAGCCCTTTTTCTGATCCTCTGGGAAATAAGGAGGCATGACTAAATCCTAAGTAGGGCAGTAACACAGTTACTAATGGTTTGTGTTTTAGTAAGTTTTCTGAGGTAGCAGTCTGGAGGATGTACTGTCTCATTGCCAGCTCATGAGCCAGGAAGCTAGACTGCTTCCACCAGATGACAGAGTGACTGTTGTAACAACTAGGTTTAGGGTAGTAATTATTAACTGTCCAATACAAAGCAAAACTATGGCTGAGAAAGGTTAAATGACCCTTTCATGGTGTATCAGCAAGTTCTATAAGTTCTACAGAACTCTGGGTTGATAATTATGAAACAGATTTAACCGAGGGAATTTTAATTAGGCCTTAGGGTGAGTGCTGCAGACCAGCTCACTCAGGATCTATTCCAAATTCCTGAAATGCTAGGCCTGGGAACCTAAAACCTATATTTTCAGGACTTCATATGTATGGATTCATGTGTGATTCAGATTTTACTACTTATATGCTCTTAAGGTTTGGATATGAGGTGTTCTAAGTTGTTCTTGGTGTTTTGGTCACAGTGATGAAAAGCTAACTAAAAAATAAATTGGTACTAAGAAGGGGGGCGTTGTTGCTGTGACTAAATTGGTGGTTCAGAAGTCTTTGGAAATGTTTTGTGGGAGGAGTTTGGAAAAGTTCAGAGATGCAGGCTGGAGAAGCCTGAGAATGTTGGAATGGTGGAGCATGATGGGCGATTCTAGTGGAGCTCAGAAGACCAAAATGTACATAGGAATGTAGATAATAAAAATTGTGTTCATGACATTTCAGAAAACAAGGGTTATATTGGGAATTGAACTAAAGGCTGTTTGTGTTACATTCTGGCAAAGAAGTTGACCTACATTTTTTCCAATGTCCTGAGACTTTCTGTGAGGTTTAATCTAAAGGTGATGGGCAATTAATATGGTTGGGAAAATTTCAAGGCAGCACAGCATTTAGGCAGTGGCATGAATAATGATGGATTCATTTAGCCAGGTTTACTGGGACCAGAAAACAGAAGGATTTTTAAAACTTGCAGTTTGGACAGAAAGTGCACGTAAAAGTGGGGCCAAGGATGGTGTGCTTGTTAAAGAGATTATAGCCAATAAAGAGATGCTAAATACTTTGCATAGAAACAATGGAAAAAATGCCTTGAGGGCATCCTTGGCCATACACATCACAGGTTCAAGGGTATAAAAGTAAAATAAGACCGCGCAGGAGCATCCTGCTTGCACAGGGGGACCTAGGAAGTTGTTTCACTGTGCTCAGCCACTCAGGCACTCAGAGGCAGCTGCAGTTATGATCCCAGGGGCCCAATTACCACTCAAGCTGGCAGCAGACCTTAGCATTGTCCATGTGGTGCTAGTTCTTCAGGAATGCAGAATACTGGAGTTAGGGGTCATGGAGGCTTCCATTGAGATTTCGAGGGAAGGCCTGGGAGGCTAGGCAAAGTGTAGCAGGGTTGAAATCCCTATGGGCTGCCCCTGAGAGGGCAGTACATGAAGTTGTGAAGGTGAAACTTAAGTGAGAATGGAGACCCCAGGAATTAAGAGGTGCCAGTAATGTAGACTGTCTGCTGAGAAAAACTGTGGCTACAGAGAAAGCCAAGCTAAACAGAGAGGCCATGAGTGCTGAAGCCAGAAAGGCTTCAGAGGCAGGGCTGCCCAAGCCCTTTGGAGAACACATCTCTTTACCATGTGCACCAGACACCAGATGTGGAGCTACTGAACTTTTTTGCCCAGCTGGGTTTCAGTCTTGGTTTGATCCCATCCCTTTTTTGTATGCTCCTATTCCTCTCCTTTGGAAAGGGAATGTTCACTCTGTGCCATTGTATACTGGATATATGTCACTTGCTTTTTATTTTTATAGTGGCTCATAGCCAAGAGTTTGCCTTGAGTCTCAGATGAGACTTTGGATTTGAACTTTTAAGTAATGCTGGAACTATTGCCTATGGAGACTCTTGGAGTTGTTCTAAAGGCATTTTGCAATGTGAGATAGACAATAGCTTCTGGGGGCCAGGGGTGGAGTATTATGGTTTGGATATGAGGTGTCCCCAAAGGCTCCAGTGTTAATGTGGGAATATTTAGAAGTGAAATTATTGGATTGAGGGCTGTAACTAAATCAGCCCTCATCATCCTAGTTTGAATGGACTAGCTGGGTGGTAACTGTAGGCAGATGGAGCATGTCTGGAGGAGGTGGATCACTAGTGGCATGCCTGGAAGGGTGCTTCTTCTCTGTGATCCCTCCCCGCTCCTCTCTGCTACCTGGCTGCCTTGAGCTGAGCAGCTTTTTCTGCCGTGCCTCCTCCCATGATGTGCAGCCTCACCTTGGGTCTGGAGGAAAAGAGTCAGCCATTTATGAACTGAAACCTCTGAAACAGTGAGCTCCAAATAAACTTTCCCACCTCTAAGTTGTTCTCATGGGGAACTTACTTGGTCACAGTATGGGAAGCTAACTAACACATATGGGCCCACAAAAA